TTCCACTTCCTCCGGTGGTTCATGGTCTTCGCAAGCACGAAGACTGTGAGGTGGCGTCAACATTTGGCAAGGATCGTGGTCATGTGCCAGCCATACCAGAAGTGCATGAAGCCAACAATCACAGAAACTCGCATCCAACTTGACCCTGTGGAGGCCTCTTCTGAAGAGTTCCTGCTGGTTGTCATGGATGAAGCACATCACATGTTTTGCTCACAGACTGACTTGGCCCAACAAGAGATGCTTCAGAAGATCCCAGCTCAACAAAAACTGCTCTTATCTGATGTCTCTCAATCCGACGGTTCTCAAAAGGACCTCACCTTCGACCGGTTCTTCCCTGATCGCTATCAGGCAGGGACGAGGGTCAAGGTGGAAAACTAGCTGGTCATTCAACCAGGGTGAGGGATCGGCCCCAGTTGCACCAACTTCTGAACGCACCTGAACAATCCTCAATCCAGAACTGGAGGTCCAGGTCTGAGGATCTGCCGGGACAGAACACACACAATTCTCGCCTATTGGAGGAAGTTGGCGGGTGTCCAAAAATCATGTTCTCCACTCGTTTTTGGAGATGCTCCTTTTCCTTTTTTGTCCGTTCCTTGTTTTCGCGGTCCCGCCCCCACCCGTCTCCGGAGCCCGCCGCACCCGGCCCGCAGGTGGCGCTGTCGCAGGTGGTCCGCAGCACGCAGCGCATCGTCGCGGGCGCCAGGGCCTTTCAACTGAGCGCGGCGGACGCCGTGAAGAGCAGCAGCCTCGGGACGGATGGACCACCGGTAAAAAGCTTCATCTTCGAAGTCGAGGGGAAGGAGGGGAATGCTTCCAGGTGGGAGAACCTGGCGCCGAGGGGGAGTTGGGAGTGTTTTTTTTTCAATTTATTTCATGCAGAGTGCGGACATCTTCGGAATGTACGTTGTTTGTTCATGGGTTTTTGAGGTGTTTTTATCATTATTATTCATTAGTTATTTTCGGGATTCGGGGGACATGAGAGACATAGCCACTTGAGATGAAAGACAGCGGGGTTGACGGGGTGTGGAAGGGTGGCCCCTGCATGCTCAGTGCAATGGTCTACAGTAAACCCTAGGTGTGTCGCAGTTAATTGAACGTGCGGGTAGTGACTTGACCCTGGTCTTCGCAACGATAGATGAAGTTCACAAGCTCTTGATCATGTCAAACCCTGCGAGGGAAGAGATCATGATGCATTATGTGAAGTATACGATGGATGCTTTCTGGCATTTGATGCAAACGTTTTCGACCCTGAGCTTCGACCGACGTTTGTCCTTGCTGGTTCCGGACGAGCGCTTTCGAGAAGACTTCCAGCGACTGTTGGACCTGGAGCTGCAGAAGGAGTTTCCCCATCGGAGATTCCAGCTGGTGACATGTGAGGAGCTGCTTATTTGGTGTCAGGTCAGTTCATGATTTTTGAAGTTTTCATTCGAAAGAGTATCCACTGCACTTGGTCAAGTCCAATGCTGAGCAGCAAACACATTTTGATATACTGTTATTATTGTTATTTTTACTGAGGTCAAGGTGGAAACGGGGCTGGCAAGAATCAGCCCAGTTTCATGATCTCAAGGATTCTTTCATTGGCACCAAACATATAACTTTACCAGACTTTACCATCTCTTTGTCTCATTACCTTGGTGAGGAGTCCCTCTCCTACTTGCCCTCTCACATGATGGCAGTGAATGCAGAGGTTTATGCTGGGGAACGCATTGTTTTGGATACCATCGAGAATGCCAAGGGTTTGGAACAACTCATCGTCATTTCCATTGGCCTCGATGGCGGCCAGGATGGTGATCGTCTCACACGAGCTCGTTTGTACCAAGGGATTACACGAGCACAGCTGGTGGCTCTGGTGGTCAATGAATTTGTGGAGGATGGTTTGCTGGCATTCCTCTCGAAGGTGAGACATTCGTGCTTCTTCTTTCCCAAGTGGCCACCTACTTTGCTGTTCCACACCTGATCTACATTGAGCATGTTGTGCATGAGCATTTCTGTCATGAAGCTCTGTCAAGCAACCCACTGCAAAACAGGGCAAGCCTGGTTGTTGTCATGTTTGTTGGATCGCTCGTTGAGAAAGTGTTGCTTTTTTCGCCACACAACTGGCACCACACGACTATCAGTTCAACCATCAGACTATCAGTTAAGTCGGACAGTGGACAGCACTCCTAGCACTCCCATCCATCCCCCACCCTTCACCGCCGCTCTCCCCGCGCGCGTGGCGGTCGGTTTCACCGGCTCGTACCGCGCACGTGCGCGTGCGGGTGGGTGGTGAAACACACGTCGGAGGTGAAGTTGAAGGGCGCCCAGCGGTTCCAGCCCAAGGCGGCCTTTGCGGAGATCCGCACGGATGCGGCAGCTGCGCTGGTGGTGCCCGGGCTACAGAAGCAGCGCGGGTTGAGCAGGGTTGGGTGATTGGTTGCTTGGACATGCGGGTTGTGTCAGACATGTGGCAGATGCAGAGACCCTGCGGGTGAGAGTGACACTCCTTCCCTCGAAAAATCGGAAGACCATCACATCCGAAGACCAGCTGCAGCTGGTGCAGTCCACGGAATGCCACGATGAGTTTGAGGGAGTGTATGGATTTTTGGGAGGGCATCCGAGATTTTAGGCCCTCCCATCCAAACTCTGTAAACACACACACTTAGTCACAGGGTTTGCAGTTTCCATAATCCACAGTGAAATGGATGAGGGAACGGAAAGGCGCAAATTCGGCTTAACTGAAATGTTGAACAATGTTGACGCGTTAGCACTTTACTGAAAGCTTAGCAGTTAGAAAGGGGAAGGTTTAGGGAATAGCTGAGAACCACCATAAGAAGCAAAACGAAAGGAGAACAGCTTGTGCAACAGTTCAGCAGGTACTTTTGCAGCCCTCCCCAGTGGCCTCTTCGTTGGCCATCCGCCACTGGGGAGGGGGATGGCCCCGTGCTTTGCAAAAACCAAGAACTCTTAGAAACACCACCCTGGCGCACACAATCGGCCGCTTTGCGGCGCTCCCTCGCACCAGTGACAGTTCTGTTGGTGCTTCAAAAAGCGTTGGCACTCTGCTGTGGAGTGCTCTTTGGCAATGAACCTGACTAGGTACCTAAAAGGCCTTAGAAAAGAAAGAAAGAAAGGCAGAAAGAGCAAAGCGGAAAGGGCAAGAAAGAAAGATAATAGGAGTAGCGAAAAAGTGACTACTTAGCACTTGACTACTTAGCCCTCGACTGAAAAAAGAAGAACCTCATTACAGACCTAAAAAGCCTCTAGCAGAAAGGCAAACCTAGAAAGAGAAACGAGCAGGCAAGAGAGAAAGAACTCAACAAAGCCCGAGGGGCAGGGAAACGAGCCTCAAGAACCACCTAACGAGCCTGAAAGAAAACCTAGAAAACGAAGAAAGCGTAAGAGAGAAAAAGCGGGGGGGCAGGGAGGTGTGTGTGTGTGTGTGTGTCCATGTCAGTCTAGTTACTGAATACTTAGCAGCCGTTAATTACGTGCAATAGTTGGGGAGCGGGACTTTAGTCTTAGACCGCCCGGGTAGAGTAGACTAGAACAGGGACAACAGAAGGAAAGGCACCTCTCTAAATACTGCGATATTATGTAGCAATGTTTCGACGATTCTCTGCGCAAAATAGTGTTGCATACGAGAGCACTCTCCCGCGATTGACACCGTTGGGATCGCGATTGATTCGCGGTTGATCGGCGATTGTAGCTGCCTCAGACACCTTTATTTTGATCAACACCCATATAGAGATCTAGAAGTTGCTTACGAGCACCACGGAGTAACCGGGTGGTTTGTTTCGACACCGCTGACATCCCTGACTATAGCTATGTATGGTTTGTCCTTCCAATCACCACCCATCCCCTGGCGTTCACCGTGCCTGGTCTTCTTGGCTTTCTTTGAATGGACCACCCGACGCAACCAACTGGCCACACGAGGCGTCACCACCGAAGAAGGTGTCGGTGTCTCGTCATCGAGACGGCGACGTCGTCTCGTCGTCTCGTCGTCCGGTGTTGTTGAGATGGGGGTGGAGTGCTTGAAGAGAACGAAAGAATGACAGAACCTATAGTAGCTACCGAGAAGGGTCTGGGAGAAAGGTTTGCCACAAGGTTGCCAGATGCTGATTGCCTGGGAGGTTCTTCAGTTCTGTGAACATCCCAACGACGGTGCGAGGACGGTTTGGTTCGCAAACCGAAAGACGGAGACTGCGCCACCTCTTTGGACCGAGGAGGAGGAGCTGTTTGGAACATTCCAAGGAGCTGACAGTTAGGGGGGGTTCGCCCGCACCCAGGCGGAGGCGCCACCATTGGCCGTTTCAGCAGCTCGCCCGGTGCCGGAGGAGGTGGCGCCCGCTGCTGGGAACGCCGGTTTCAACCGGGTGAAGCGGCTGATGGGCCGGTCCTGTGGGGTCAAGCAGCGGGCTGCGCATGGTGGAGCTCCTGAGGGAAGAAAGATGAGGGTTCGGAACCGGTCGTTCCTTTTTTTTTGGGGGGGTTCAAGCAGGGTGTTTTGACCCATGAGCCAAGGTCGGTTGTAGGCATTGAGTGTTAATCTGATCAATCTATAGTAGTAAGATCGACAAGAGTTGCATACTTATATATATATATACCCTACGCGCCCAAACCCTATAAATTTGTAGGGCATCAATCAAAACCTCGGGTATTCTGGTACAATCAACAATACCTTGAGTTTGCTCTTAAAACCTCGGGTCTTGCTTTTGTAACCCGTACTAAACCCACATTTAACCCGTACTAAACCCATATTTAAATCGTATTTTAGTACTGGTTTGGAAAGCCTTGGGTTTCCTTCACAACCCCTAGGTTTTTCCATCGACCCTACAAATTTATAGGGTTTGGGCTTGGAAGGTAGGCATAGGTACATTGGGAATTGATGGATGGTGCATCATGGTGCATCTAGTTCTCCAGCAATTCCAACCCTTTTCATCCCTAGCCAAGCCACCCAAACCCCCAACCCGCCCCACCTTCGCCCCGGCCAACGCCCCGGCCAACGCCCCGGCCCGGGCGCAGGTCCTCCCAATTCCGGCGACCGCCAGAACGACGGGCGGGTCAGCAGCTGAGACGTCCAAGGAGCGCCCGATGCCGTCCGGGGAGCGTCCCCAACAACGGGACGACGGAAGATTGATGTTAGACATGATGTTGACATGCATGGTTTTTTTTCAAAACAGGTCCTTGTATAGTAATGTATGCCGGGGAGAGTCCCTTAGTGGTTGTTTTGTTCCAATTATAAGTACGACTGACCAGCAATTATCCAGCTTCGGGTGGTTGATGATTCCGGTGGGCTCAATCGGCTTTGGAGTGTGCTGGTCTTGCATCTCAATTCACCGGAACTACATGTCAATTTTATGGTTTTGGAGAGTTGTGCATCATCACCCAAAATGGTGCTTGTTTGGTTTCCTCGCCCGAAAAAAAAACGCACCACAAGTGACAAAACAACACCGCAGCCTATGTTTCAGTATTGTGTTGTGATTCCGTGATCACGTGTGATGGGCCATCATGCTCAATTGTATTCATAAAATACATAAAACAGATATCTTTAAGTGAAATCGCTGTTCCGCGTGTTTTTTTCCGAATTTGATGCTTCTGGGCGTTCCAATTTGGTGGCTCTTCTTCGCCTCGACAGCCGCCTCCACCTCGCGGCGCTGGCCCGCCGCCTTCGCCTTCGTCAGGAGCTGCCGCCCCGCCGGAGCTCGGTTTGGGACACCGAGAGCAACGCGCTGGGCGCGGGTGCTCGGGCGGTCGCGGGACGAGGCCTGCGCTTTGATCCGATGGCCCCTGGGACGGACCTGCCGGGCTGTTATGGTGGAGAGGGTGGGATGGATGGATGGGGAAGAAGGTCTTGTTTCTTTTGTGAGGGATGGTGGAAGTCAGCTTTTAACCTTTTAACTCTTGTTTTCGAAGGCGATGGACCACGGTAGAGACGAAATGTCTCAGGCAACGGCGCCGTGACCAGCTGTTTGAGACGTCAGATCCCGCCGCGACCTCCCCTAGCTAAACGAATGGGTGGTCGTCTATAATAAACTAGTACCAAAACAAACCTGGATTCCTGGTAGATATCCTTTTGCAATTCAATGTTGGATTCATTGTCCTTTCATAGATTGTATTCAGTTTCCTTTCTCAGGTGCTTTGTAATTGTTCTCAGCCATGGCTTTGTTTTGGTAGTATTAGGAGTCCATGGGCAGATCTATTTTTCCTTTGGAAAAAACTTTTCACAATTGACAACCCCTAAAACAAATCCATTATTGATGATCAGGTGCCTTCCTGGTCTACTACCTTGAACATTTGTTTAGGAGCAATGTTCACATAAAGGATTGCATTAGGAAGTGGTGGGTTTGGAAAGCTGTCAGTTTTGAAGAAAACCTAGAGAAACCTATATCAGCTAATGAATCAAAATCATTGGCCTTAGGAGCTAAGTAAAGGAAGATTCCATGAGCAGATCTATTTTCCAGTGGAAGAAACCTTTTCTTATCTGCTTGCCTGGCAAGGGAGCAGGGAGTGCAGGTGGACAGGGTTCAGAAGGAATTCAAACCCTTATTAGGTGTCCAATAGAAAAAATTAGGGCCCCCCCAAAAAATTAGCATCATTCATGACCACTTTTTCAAAAATGGGGTCTGGAATAATTTTGGAAACATTTAGCATTATTGAAGACCGGTTTACTAATCAACATCCAACATTAGAGGAAACGCATCTTCCAGGGGTCCCCTCTGGGTCAGACAGTCAGGTTCGTGAGTTTTTGGAACTTTGAAGGGATGAAGTTCGGTACTGACCCTAGGGCTCCTGGCCCATCTCCCCAGAAGGTGGTTAGACCCCCCCAACCCCACCCCAACCATCTTCTCAGGAGGTGGTTGGAGCCCTAGGGTGAAGAACCAGGTCTGTGAGTTTTCGGACCGTCGATCCCAAGCGCCGTCGTTCGGGCGGTTCTGCCCGGTATCCCACACGGTCCGCCGGTGGAAGACGAACGGTCCGGCGAGGCCGCGGATCGTTGGCCCCTAAGGAATCCATGTTGGAGGCCTACCAGCGGGCAGTGCCCCAGATGCAATCCGAAGTCGCGACCGGACCGGTTCCGCGGGGCGAGTGGACTGGCGGAGACGCCCGGAGACGGTGCGTTTTCCCTTGCTTGCTCCCTCCCTGATGTGACTACCGGGCGCTTGGTAGTTTCAAGACAACCCCGAATGAAAGGATGGTGCGGCCAAGATCTAGGTGGTGGGTGTGTCTTCCACAAGACTCCAAGTGGAACGCGGTTTGCTCGCAAAGGGACATCTGGATCTAGAAAAGGGAAGAAGTGTTGGAACTGCCAGGGCCCCCTAAGGGGTGGTTAACGGACACCCCGGATCACCTCTAAGGAGCTACAATTAGACATCCCTTTAGGGGGCCCTGGTATAGGTTCTTTGACCAGCGTTCTTTTGTTTTTTTGAGTCAGTTTCAGTGCAAAGTCACTGCAGTACACTGCCATGACGGGCCATGGGGCATGGAGACGGATGCAGATCAATGCGAGGTGACGCTGATGGAGTTGGAGCTGATCAGAGACGCGGCACGGTCTCTGAAGGAGGCAGAGGACGTGAACTTCTACCAGTTCAACCAGGAACTGGATGATCTGGATGGCACATGGGCACATGTGTTGATTGCGATTGTTCATCGTGGATTCATACACATATCATATGGCACATGCTTCTTGGATAAGGTTCATGCGAATGGACAGTTTCACACACATGGTTGGTCGCCTCTTGGTTCGTTGCGCATTTGATGCTCTTGCCCGTCCCATGGAGTGTCAGAAAAGAGTGTCCAAATAAATCCATATATTCCAGCAGTCACGTAAGACGGGGTGCGATCCATGGAGGTAGTCGGGGTGCCCAGAACACATCCACTCACTGGATGGGAGTAAAAACCACCCAACTCCATGTGACCCCTGGTTGATTCCCCGGACCTCTTTCTTCGATGTTTCTTCGGGGCACACGAGCCCTCCTGTTGGGCCAATTCTTCCAGAAAGAAGGCTCTTATTCGGGGGTCAGGTGTGGACCTTCCGAATGTCGAAGCCTGATTGCGATCGAAGCCTTATTGCAGAGAATCTGTACTTTTGCTCAGCCGGTGCTTTTCCAAAACGGATGGTCCTGGTCCTTGACGTCTCCTCTTCCGCAGCTGGCAGGAGCACGTGCTATCCAAGACAGCTCCTCCGGACGGCATCGTGCTCCGCGGCGTGCGCGCGCCGCCGCAGGTGGCGCAGTCGCTGCTGAGGGACCGCCGGGGCCGCAGGTTTCGGAGCTCGGTCCACGTCACGCGCGAGATCGTGCAGATGGACGCTCAGCGTCTTCGCTCCGGAGCTGTGGGGACGACGCAGGGAGCGGAAGTCATGGCAGATGCTGGGACGAAGGGACGGAGGGGACGGGGACAATGGATGTGTTGCTGCCATATAGTTGCCTGCGACTGGGAGTGGTTGGATCGGAAATGGAAACCGAATGGAACGGCAAACGTTTCTTTGGGTGTTCCAGGTGTCCCAGGATGTCGAGATTTAAGATTATTTCCTAATATCCAATTCGCCATTCCCACTGCTCGGCTATTTGTGAAGCCTCCAAAATTCTGACAGTACATGACAGTACGGTATCCCAAGTCGGATGTGTTCTATTTTTTGCCTTGCTTGTGGGAGGTGAACATCTCCGGCTCCCTCCCTGGCACGCGCGCCAGCTGTGTGGGGTGGTGTTCGGCCTGGCACCTAGGATGGTCGCCTGGCCGTGTCTGTGGATGTCACCCATGGTTCCTTCGTGGCGGGCGACGGCTTGTTCATTGACAGCATCGCCGTGGGTGGCCCCGAGGAGACGGCGATAGAGTCGGTGAAGCGTTTCGAAAAACATGACTTAAGAGAAACATCAGAACCCCCCCTTGCAGTCGGTGAAGCGTTTCTCATGTCCATCTCCATCAAGGTTGTGAAACAGAAAGTCCCGTGGCACTTCATTGGACCTTTTCGACAGTTTTTGCTGTGTAGGACGAGGTCGGAGCGTTTGTTGGGGCGGAGCCGATCTCGGAGCATTGTTCAACGTTCGAAACAACATCAAGCCCTCAGAGCACGCGTTTGGTCGACGTGAGAAAACGCGTGGTTTTGGAGGGTTGGTATGTTGCGTCGGCAAGACGACTCAGACACCTTTTGATCCCCTAGAATGTTGGGGCAAACTGTTTCCCTCGAACGCATACCCAGTTACCCAGGAGAAATCTGGACCAACTTCGAAAAGCTCACAGGTTCACCACAGGAAGAGCACCCCATCCCACCGAGATGTCCTCGACTTACTGGCTTGGACCGATCGGTTTCGAAACGTCCAACGTACGTTTCGTCACCCGCCTTCGGCGGGTCGTGGTGGTGCTTCGGACTTTGGGGACCATCTAGGAGATTGACCTCACGGGCTCCATCAGTTACAAGGAGTTTCTGTCCCCAAAGCCTTGCATCGCCCAGTGGTACTGCTGCCTGTCAAAGAGCTTCCGAGGGGTGATGATGTTCGGAGAAGGGAGCCTTAGCGACGGTCTTCTATCAGCTCATGGGCGAATTGACATCGCACCCAGTGTTTTTCACACAAAAGCCCAGCGCGGATGTGCGCGGGATTTCACAGCGCGATCGGCCACACACATCGGCAGTGGATGGCAGTGGATAGGCCGTTTTGCCCCTTTCAATCTTTCAATCTCACAGCTTCCCTCACGTGGATGACTCTCTCAGGCTGGACATGCTCCGGTGAAGCTAAAGCATCGCATGCATATAGGGTCATCAGGACAAGGGTCATTTCGATCGAAGGACTGAGACGACTGAGACCTGTGACGACTCAAACCGACTTGGTGGGTCGTTGGGGAACCACCAGGCCACTAGGCCGCTTGGTTTCACTCACGCGAGTCCGACATGCCTTGACCATGCCTGGACCGAGGTCCCGCCCTTCCTTTGTGCGACATCGTTGGAATCGGAGTCGTGGGACACATGCTGTGAATCCAGGAGAAAAAGTATATTCTCCCCCAGGACCCCTAAGGGGTGTCTAATTCTAGCTCCTTAGAGGTTAAGGGGTGTCCATTAACCACCCCGACCCACTGTCACCTGGCCATCATCTTCCAGGAAGGCACAGGCTTGAAGAAGAGACTTGTGGACGTCCTCCCAACGGCCCCAAAAAGACTTGGAACCTGGCCGGTGCAGAGGAACTCGTGTTTGAAAGAATGCCCCAGGGCCCCATCCACATCGGTGATCACCTGTGTTTGCACCATTGCAGCCATGAAGTGGCCTCGAGCGCGACGTGGCGCCAGTGGCGTTCAGGTTGTCATTGGTGGGGTGAGTCCTTGGACTCCTTCGTCTCCAGCTGTCAGACACACGCACAGCTGCGGCGGCGCGGGTCCCCGGGGTCAGCGGGCGGCTACTGGGTGGCGGCCTTTGCAATGCGCCAGCATGAGCTACGTGAAGAGCTCGGAGCCTCGGGGCCAGTGACCGTTTTGGTCCACGCGGATCGATGCGTGTGGACGGTGTCTCGAACACACCCAGATGCGACCTGTCTGGGACTGCCATATATATGAGCCACGGTCAAAACATGCGAAGACCACTTTAGTAAGGAGGGGCAGGTTTGTACACAAAACCCTGCAAAACGATAAGGTCCACCTCAAAACCGATAACCCCAGCGCTGTATATGATCATAAGTATGCGACGAACTCAAAACATTCTAAAACGATAAGGTCCAACTCAAAACCGATGACGTCCATTTTTTTGCTGAAGAAGAATAAGGAGTTTTGACCGTCCCTCATATATATATATATATACAAATTGCCGATCAGGCCAGGGGTGGTGCCAGGGCCTCAGGGGGGTCAATGTAGGCCTTAAATGGCCCATGGATCGAACGATGGCAGTGACCGGCCTTCCCCTTTGCTTCGTTCGTTCGCTCGCTCGCTCGGTCGGTCGTCGGTGGTTGGTTTGTCAGGACTTCGGGAGGAACCGGTGGAAGTGACACTTAGTGACTTAGTGGGAGGAAGGCCGAAACAACCATCGTCTCCGGGGGTCACATAGAGGGCCAGGGTAGGTTTGGTTCGTCCCATCCAGGGGCTGTAGATGTGGCACCCAACTCCTACCTCCATGGATCGCACCCCTGACCGAACGTGACTGCTGGCTGACAGGTCTTTTTTCGGGAGGTTTCCGGGACGTCAACGGTGCGTCTCCTCTGGGCCGTTGACCGAAGGGGGACCGAGATCTGAACACCATCGACTGACGGGACCGGGAAGGGATGAGCGCCCGGAACGGCGGAGAAGCAGACGGATGATCCAAGAGAGCAGATCCTTTTGGGACCGAGTGCCGATGACTGAGGACCCGATTTGAAGGAGTCTCCTTTCTATGATGCTCTTCGCTTGGCTGATGGGATATTGCTGATCCTGGGCCAAAGCTAGTGAGGAAGTGAAGACATGTTCATTCACCCCAAAAAAGCGGGAACATCCATCATTTCTCCAAAGACGGCCACAGCAATCAATGTGAATGGCCACCAGAGTGCCACCAAAGGGATACGTTCCCTTTCACGCGCATATTGCATATTTGTCTAGAGACTCTTAAATTAACATTTAAATATAACATCATGCGAGCTCTTCCTGATCAACATGTTCCTTTCTTGTTGTTGTTATATGCTTTCTTGGGCAAGTACTGTTCCCCATGAACAAAAATCCAATTTGTTTCCACAGATTGGCCGGGAGGATGAGGGTGCCGTGACACAGGACTGTGGATAGTGAGGAAGTCTTCCGTCGCACGTGGTGCCACTTGTCCTTCAAACGAGACCGTCGGGCGGTCCAGCGGCCAGAAGGGTTCAGAGAAGCGATATTACAGCCACCGGTAGAATGACGAACAGCGCTTTTTGTGGCTTTTCGGTTTGTTATACCGGAGGTTCTATCCGATCCAGCAAGTGGACTAGCTAGCAAGTGGACAGCAACACCGGTCTTAGCACATGGCCGAGGTTTTGTTATGCATCTTCAAAGCCATGGAAGCATAAACCTCTGTGTAGAACTGCATGGTCAAGTGGTTGGAGGCACATTTCATTGGAGCCACAGCGGTTCATATACGGCTGCGCATGCGGTTTGTTAGGCCACTATGAACTCTATGCTGGCTCAGATCTTAAGCATTTGGATGTGGTCTGCAACGGAGCAATGTTGAGCAGGACTGGATTGCCTGGGGTCTCCTGGCACAATGTTTTGGATGTGGGTGAATCAGATGGGACGATGTGTTGAACCAAGGTGGAGTGTCTGCCTCGTACCTCTCAACAGCTGTCAAAAACCATATAAAGACCAGAGATGGCTTGTCATGCCTTAGCTTCAAACTTGATATTTCCCTACAAGTCCAAAGACCCAGTAAAACCTGGTGTTTACCTTCTCGAGATCAAGTATATATTGTTGTTGTATGAGCAACACGCAGTATCATGAGGTCAAACTGACTGGTAGGGAACCCCCAAAAACCGTTGTGAGTCGGTGCAACACCTGACCAACACCGAACTACTCCGCCTCTCGCGGTTCCCGTTCCTGAAAGGACGGATTGACGGATTGACCGAAAGGGATCATTTTCAGACATGCAACTGGAGTCAAGGAGTGAAACTGGTTCCAAGTTGTTTCGCCTTGGAGACAGCTGAAACATGTATCCCTGACGATCCATGACCACACATAGGTCACACATAGAAATGATCTTAGGATATGCATACGTTTCTATTGATCGTGTTATTTGAAGACGTTGTCGAATCACAGATTGGGGTACCTGAAATGTATATACAATTCCAGTATCATTGTCGGAGGATAAGACCATGAAATCCCAAGAACCAAGCATACCAGGGCGTGACGAACCGTGACAGACCGTGATTGGTCTATTTTGTCCCTTTAAAAATGATGTCATTGTCGGACTCCAGCGTGACAACCCGTGACGAATTTGAATTTGGGATCGTTGGTTTTGTGGTTTTTGGGTTCTGGTATGATCTCGTTTTTTGAGGTCGGACCTCACAGGGTGAGGTCGGAGAGCCCCAGAAGGCACAACCCCAAATGTTAGCATATAGAGCTAACTTTCGATCCTCAGGGTATTTTTTGTATAGCTTTTCATGTAGCTTCTGACAGCGTCTGCCGTCCCGCCCAGCGGTGACCCCGATCCGGACTGCGACCGGACGAGTTGAGGAGAGCATGGTGGCCAAACAAGTGCCTTTGGAATAAGACTAGTCAGACTATACCAGCACCCGAACAGGGGCACCCTCCTGGCCAGGCTGAGGGTTGTTGGATGTTGTTTCAGGTCGAACCGGTGACCTGTAGAGTCGGGTCCTGGTCAAATAATTGCAAATATAGGGGTCACATGGAGTTGGGTGGTTTTTAGTCCCATCCAGGGGCTGTGGATGTGACAGGGGCACCCCGACCACCTCCATGGATCGCACCCCTTACTGAACGTGACTGCTGGTAATTGTGTTTTGTTTCTAATCACTAGGAGCGATGGCCTAACCTACTTGCAATGGCCTCCAAGCAACTTGCAATGGCCTCCAACCTTGCTATGGCCAAGTCCTGGTGCCCCTGGTGCGTCTAAGTGTCGACCTCCTCGGGCGAGAGAGGATGAGCGAGCTCGCCACGCACGCAACGACCGTCGTCCGGTCGCGGCTCCGTCCGAGCGGATGTTTGAGGTCATGGTGGAGTGAGGTCATGGTGGATTCACCCCCTGTCACGTGAATTCAAATCAGCCGGATTTGAAATCAGGCGTCAGGCGGATGAAATCAGGAGCTCGAGGAGTCGGAAGGGCGAAGGAGTGAATGACTCATCAGGAGTCATACAATGTACCCAGATGGTCGACCGCGGTCGGACCAAGAATCCGGCGTCCTAAAGAGCTGCGGAAAGAAGCCCATGAGGCAGTCTCGAACCATTTCTCCCCATTTCTCCGTGAGTCTCTGGGTTCCTCCAGACGTCGGTCACTGAGTTGCGGGAGAAAGGCTTCGATTGGGAGCTCCTGCTCAAAGGGCTGACGATGAACTGTGAAGCTTCACGCGCCACGGTCCTTGTGCGGGAGCACAGATGGGGACCACAAGCACACCGCGAAGCTGTCAGGTGTGAGGTCCGTTGAGGTTTTTGCTGTTGAGGTCCGTTGCTGTGAAGATCTCCCAACAACTTAACAACAAAAAACGGACCAGAAACGCAGTCCATGGCAACTTCACAGCGTGTTCTGTTTTCGAGGTTCCTTTCCTTCGTGGGGGGCACACAACCAAAGGCCTTTTCTTGGGTCCTTTGAGTCTGGGGTCTTCTGTCGGTTCGGTCCCAGGCCGACAGGAGGATGTTCGCCGCGATCTTTGCCCCGTGGCGCTTGTTCGAAAAGCCGACTTTCGTCGAACACTCCCAGACTGACTGGTGGCACATATAGGTGGCCTTTTAGCATTGGTTGATACCCCCGGTCATGCGCAGCCAATAGCAAACAATGGCCACCTTCCAGCGGCCCCTTCAACTGGATGTTCCCGGACATCAGAACATGAAAATGGGACTCGAAGACTCTCACTGCTTTACACGAGATCGACTGCTTCTAACTACACGAAAAAAAATACAAGTTCGCTGCGATCTTCGCTGTGGGGGCGATCTTCGCGGGAGCTTGGAGTTGGCCCAATCCCGCTTGAAAACCACCAGGCTTGACCGAAGCAACTAAGGATTTTCCACAAAACCAGGTCAACCATGTTTTTGTTGGTCTTGGAAGTCTAGCGAATCTATGGGAATCCAGTAATCCGCATTTTCCCGGAATCTAGCATGAGATCGGGTCTCCTCGGTCGACCCCTTCCTGGGGGTCGTGTAGGACAGGGCGGAAGGTAGAAGGGGCTTGGTAGTTCAGAAGGGAATCCACTGAACATCAGTGGTGAGGGATCGCCTATCGTCGGATGGGCCATGGGCGGCCATGGGCCTTCCATATACCAGCACCGACGGCCCTGCCAGGTCACCAATTGAAACCTGTGACAGGGCCCGTCTCCCAACCCTCCAGCCATCGGAGACCTGGTGGAAGGTGCTGGTATGCGCATGTTTTCGATGAGTCCGTTCTACCGTTCTGCCGGGTGGTGTTCCGCGAAACGCGGGAGAGCGGGCTGGCCCGCCCTCCACGGTGTTGGAGAGAAACATCCGTGGGGGCCACCGTGGTCAGGATCAAGAAGGCACTTTGAAAGTGGACGAAACCGTCTGTTCCACCTTTGCCTTGCTCCTCGGAGAAAACATACAGAACTTGGCTGGATCCTTGTTGGCCTTTGGTCCTTAAATAAGGTGGTGGGCAGGTTTGTAACTTGCATGTTCTGGGCAACCTTTTTGAGGACAGTGAACATCAGGTTCGAACCAGTGCCAAGTGCGACCGCGCACATCGAATGGTGTCATGGATTACAGTAGTAGTAGTAGTAGTAGTAGTAGTAGTAGTAGTAGTAGTAGTAGTAGTAGTAGTAGTAGTAGTAGTAGTAGT